TGAATTTCTATATTTTGACAGATCTGTCACTGTAAATTCGTGGTTTTTAAATTTATACCCACATAATAAATTACATTAACTAACAATACCGATCTCCCACTCACATCAGTAACATTCACTTCAGAGTCAGTTACATTTTGGTGGTTTTCATAACGGGTGGGAGTTATCGACCTACGAAGAGTATCCCAAATACCAGCCGTGTCGCTTTCCTTCTATATATTCTATACTACACACACACACACACACATATATATATATATATATATATATATATATATATATATATATATATATATATATATATATATATATATATATACATATACCCTATATACCTGGCACAAATACAGTGCGATTTTAGCAAATGTTGGAAAAGTAGTTAAAATATATAATGCATAGCACTTATTTCACAACATATTAATTAAATGTGTAAAAGTAATCGGTCAAAAGTATTAACCAGGCATTAATATCCAATATTTTAAAACACAGAAACTCTGTTATATATCTCATTTATAACCCTATAGGACTGAACATATCTGTTTGTGATTAGTAAAACACAATGTTTACATCAATTCTTGATTTACATTTTCCCTTAAGCACATTTTAAAATACATTTATTTAGCATGTCTCATTTGCTCAAATACAGTTCAGTAATGATTTTCATTTTTACATAGATGATCCCTTAAAAAAAGAAGATCTCTAGACAATTTTTTAAATAACGATGAAATACCCTAATGGGTTAAACATGATATCTATCTATGAATAAATCGGTACCGCGAGTACAACACAATATTTACATCAGCTTTTGATTTATATTTTCATCACTCATATTCATATGATTCATGTTGGCTTTAAGTGACAGTTTGCCGATCTTAACATTTCACATTTACTCAAATATAATCTTTCCCAGTTCGCCTAAAATGATTCATTTTCAAAAAAGGTCAAAAGACAAGTTTAAAATAACGAGGGAATACCGCCAAGTTTAGTATTCGCGTCGGTTGGAAGTGACCAATAAGAAGGGAGGAAATATTTTGGCTCTAGCGGAAGTTGACAGGCCGACATTCGAAAGCGGCTCAGTTTGAAAAGGCAAGCTTTGAATCAACGCCAACTACAACATCCACATCAGCAAACTCCGTCCGTCCGTCCTGTTGCTTGCTTTAGATCTCTCCTTGTAGGCCGCCGCCGCTGCACCAATTCGCTTTCTGCTGTGGATTATTTCAGTTTGGATATGAACAGTAAGTTGTTTTTGTATTTTTTTTTTAAAGAATGCAGTTTTATTTGTTTCTTCTGCTTTTTGTATTTGTATTTTTTATTAAATATTATTGAAAATAATAATTTATAGTAATTATTGGGTGTATTTTTTGAAAAATTCATTCTTATGGGATGGCTGGAACTTGGAACTAACTAACGGTTGCAGTAGAGAATTATTAAATAATTATATGTAATCCAGGAATGTGCAGAATTATGCAGATACTGTAAACTCTGGATATATTAGTAATATATTACATTCTTATTGGTTACACTACAATACCAACATCGTATTTTATGCTTTTCTCAACTTCTGTCTATCTACACCATTACATTAGCTAATAATTGTCCTATAATGTTATATTTTAGCCAGGCATCTATTAAATGTAACACTCAGCTCCACCTTTGTCCAAAGGAAAAGCAGATAAAAGTGACACTAACCCTGCTATGCATATCACACAAGAGGAAGATTAACTCTTTCCAGTCCAAATCAAATGAACACGTCAAAGGTACCTGCCTATAAGTATAAGTCAAGTGAATGCAAGATGCACCGATTGTACATATTTTTCTTAACTACCACTGAGGCTGAAAAATTTAAGGCCAAAGGGGTGGGAGAATATCAGAGTAAGACTGGTTAGCTAATCTGACAGAAAAATTTGGTTGTGGGCTGGTGCTGCATTGGGAGGTACATTGCAAATTGCCGAGTAAAACCCCTATCTGGCATAGGAGTTAGTAACCTTTGAACAGGAAGTGTTAATGTACCTGAGCTTGTAGGCTAAGTTAGGGGTTGTCTCTGGCTCTCACACCAAGTAACACCCTGGAAAGTAAAGGTTGCTGGCACAGTGTTGACCACATCACCCACAGGGTACTGATTGATGTATAAGAATATGGTATGAGTCAAGTATCAAAAGCCTGATGTGCCTCTGAGAAAAAAAAGTGGTTCTTTACTTGTATTTATATTTCTCAAGTCATTATGTGGTCCTCAAATCTAGCTTGATTATAAACACTTATGGATAGAAATAAGTATATTGTAGTATGGGATACTAAATGCTTTGTGCTAATGTCTATTAATATATTAAAGCTGAACGGAGGTGTTTAGTTCTTTAATTTATATTGCTTCTTCAGTAGTAATAACTAGAAACAAAAAGAAAAAAAAAACCTGAAAGACTAGAATAAAGTGAAAGTTTTAAGGTGACAAGAGGTAATCTGCACATGATGGCAAGGAAAAGGATGACTTTTCACAAGTTTGTTAATTGTCTTTGCTCCGTTAAGTGATAAAGGGTAGAAGCGATAGATGGATGGAGTACCTAAGGCTGTGAATACCTGCATTTTTGAAGCACATACCAATGCTCACACCTGACACTTCTTCAAGACTTGGCATTCAGAGGCAGATCAGGGTTAGAGCAGAAGAAGACTTTAACAGCAGAGTTAAATAACTGTTCTCATATAAACTGACAGGCTGTCTGTGTGTTACCATGGCTCACTAGAGAAGGATCTTGCACTCCCAGTTGATAACTAAGGTTGGACATGGGGAAGGGAAGCTCTAGTAATCTCTGTGAAAAACTACTTTGGCACCAGGTTGTGAGAGGTCTCTACACCAACTTCACTCTCACAGATACAAGCTTTTATACAGCTCAAAAACTGTTTCCAAAAGGATTACCAACCTTCTGTTTATGTGTATTTTATCATCCTTTCTGTAGCATCATCATAAATCAGCAGGTCCTTTACAGAATGTCCCTTTCGTCACGTCACGACTAGAAAAGTCTCTTTCTCTAGCGAATTCTGCAGATCTACGTGCATTCATAACCAATGCATCTTTAATGTCTTACATCCACATTTGCGGATCTCTGCCTCATTTTCCTCAAACTATCCATTACCTCTGTCTTGCTGTCTGTAGACCACCATGATGTTCTATATGGCCAAAATACGTCAGCTTTCGGGACAGGATGTTGTTTATGAGCCATATATCGTTTATATTCAGATCATGCAAGGTACTTTCTGTATGGAAGATTAAATAAATTTTCACTGTTTTTTCAGTACTACTATTATTTTAAGTTTAGAAGTCCAGCCTAACCTAAAGGACTTGAAGAATAATACATTGCTTTACCTCCTAGATTTTCTGAGACACTGTTTGTTAGAAATATGTCCGCCTCTAACTACTAAAACACTTTTCCTCCAATTATGTCAGCAAAGTGAGAGATGGGTATCTTTGATGTGCTCATTTTATTCCTAAGACTTTTTTTTTCTCTAATTATGTCAGCAAAGTTAGAGAGAGAGAGAGATGGGTATCTTTGCTGTGCTCTTTTTACTCCTAAAACACTTCTTTTCCTCCATGGTCTGATTATAACAATGACACCCCCCCTCCCCCCTTTTCTCAAAAACAAAACAAAAAAACATTACATTTTCATTATGAATTCGGCCAGGTTTTGTTTGAAGGGGGAAAAAAAACAGTTATGCATAAATTTTTAAAATGGCGTAAGCAGTGAGTACAAAAAAAGATGGATTGGGTATGTGGTACCAGTCCTATATTTCTTTCTGGTCTAGTCAGCGCTGAATTAATGGTTTAATTCACTCTCTACTTGTTACTTCCGAGGAAAATTAAAAGCATCTGTTTTTAAGTGTGGGTGGACCTAGAATCCCCTAATCGGTGACAATAAAACTCCCACCTGAAAGCGGATTCAAACACATGACCACAAAACTGGCAGGCAAGAGTACTAAGCCACCGCCCTATCGCGACTGGTGAAGACATAAGTAAAGTACCAGCTTCAGTAACTCCCCGTGTGGGTTCCAGGACCCCCATTTTTGGCGACAATATGCCCCCGTCCCCATAACAAGCCAACCAGAAGTTTGTTGAAATGGGATGTGTTGGACCGAAAGGTACATATATCGCAGCCTAGATGTCAACAATAACACAATTTGCCAACCGCACTTTGAGGGAGAACACAGAAGAAATTCCACCATTGTACTCGATTTGTAGTTCGAAATGTCGTCATCGTCGTCATGACACTTTTGAAGCGCCGTTTTATACGCTTGTAGTGTCATTCGGTACTCTTTAGTGTAATTAGTTCATCCTCGTCGATGCCCTCTTGTTCTCCAGGCAGCTCGTCTTACATGTAACGCCTGCAGTATCAACCCGCATTGCTGCATTCCGAAGAGATGCCAACAGAAACATTTTCAGGCTGTAATATTTTATATTAAGCAGAACTTTCAACTAGCGACCGGCTCCGATACTTATTCCCGTTAAACTGCGACGCACTTAACGGTACAAAGCGGATATTGACAAAAGAACAAGCAAATTTAGTCTGTTCTGTTTCTATATTGTATAGTTCATCACTATTTAAGAATGATTTCATATTGAAACATTTCGTTAAAAATTGTGCGCTGGTAATCGCTTCAGATGTAATCATTTCTTAAATTATCTAATCCCGTACACAACAAATCATTAAGCGGCTGGAGCCAGGGCGCCGCCCATTTATCGCACGCCTGCGTGATTGCCTGCACGAGTAAACCGCGCTCTTTGATTGGCTACAGTCTGTAACTGCTGGCTGTCGATTGGCCCAACTGGGTGTGGGCGTTCGGTTGCTATGGCGCCGTCTAAATATAGAAACGACGCATGTCTGTGCCGATACCTGCAGGTTCTAACAGGGCGGGCGGTACCTACTGACATCGGGGTATACCTGCACGATCTCACTTGTTAGCCCGCTGAAATCGAGCTCACACTGTTCACGACTGAAACGGGACATTAGTTAAAGATGTCGGGAATGTTTTTGAATGCGTTAGCAGGTAACCTGACTGTAGCAAGAAATGCTCCGTGTTGAAAATAATTATGCATTATTTTTTCTTGTATAAAACGTAGAGCTCCCCTTGACAGTCAGACTTATATAAATTTGCAAATATTTTTTTGTTTAGTGATGGCCTACCCAGGTAACAGGTCTCGTTCACTTGTAGGGCATCTTTGTGAATCAGAAAAGTTGTTTGTATATTTGCAGTATAATATTTACCTGTAGGAACATAGAAAACATGCATATTTATTATAATAATGTACAGATATTGTATATAGTTTATATTTATTCGCTTTTTCTGAAGTTCTCTTGTATTTCATTAACGTGATTTTGTGCAGAATATGCTGTGTTTTATAGGAGATAAAAATAATATAAACAAAAATACCAACTGTAATACTTTACATTTTCGAACAGACAATTACTGAATTATTTGTAAATGAACATGTAACTACAGTGCTTGTAAGATGTATGTCTTGTTTACTGTTAAAATTTATGTTTGACAATTTTTTTTCCCCCCAGCCTTTAAAAGTATAGGAAACTTTAGTATAAAAACTCAGCTAGGCAATGCAGAAAGGAAACCACAGCAGAATCAAACAGTCATTGCTGGCCAGGCTGATGGCTTTATGTCAAGTCACAAACAGAAGACATACAGCCTGTGGGACCTACCAGAATCAGTTCTTGTCTGTATACTACGTGGCTTGCACATACGTGACCTGTTGTCTTTTAGAATGGTAAGATGTGACTTATGTGTCATGTAGTGTATGTGCATATGAAGTAAAAGTACAGAACAGTTCCGTAAAATGTACTCAAGGGACCAGGATATTGAAAATACGGGGACCATCGCGGACTAAAGGCCCGAGTCTTAGCCTAGAAAGATCATTGATACAGTGCAATTGGTAATGACCCTTGGACCACTTGCTCTGCAAGTTTTGGATCATCGGCCACCAGTTAAATATCCATGTACTAGTATGAGAATGTATCAGCTTCTAACATGGTATATTTATATTATGCATCACTCACTTAACACTTACAGTGCTTCTGAAGTTTAACAAAATGTAGACATAATACAGTGCTTCTGAAGTTTAACAAAATGTAGACACAAATTTTAGAGCAAGCTTTTTTTCTTTCAAATTAAGTGGTGGTTATTTTCGGCTTTCTTATCGGTAATTACACTTCCAGTTGATTAATCCTTTATCTGTGGTTCTGTATTTTTTAAATCTGCAAGCATATATCCTCTATTCCTTTTCACGTCTACAATGGAGTCCTAGAACCAACACAGGGAATTTCATTCAGTTTTATGCTAGATCACTTACAGTTAAAGTTAGTTGCATATCCGTGAGAGGACCAACCCCAGCACATTTTGCCTGTTTAGTTTTGCCGGGCAGTGTTATGCTGTATAGCTTCACATTGTATCCTGAACAGTTGACTCTCGCTAACATTGTTTAATCTATCTGCTGCCATAGCACCCATTGTTTGGATTTTTAAAAAAACATATCCAGAAACCACGAGTTGTTAACCTTTTGGCTCAGTACTATGGATATTGCAACCCTTCGGCCTTGATTCCATGATAGATACTGTAAATGTGGGAGAAATGTGGCTTTTCTGCCTTCCCCGGGGGTGAACCCAGACCACAAGTTCTTCGCACGGTCGCCGCCCAGTCAGGTTTAACCAACTGAGCTAGCGAGCCGGGCATGTTGGAATTATAAAGCACGTTAACAAACTTAAGCCACATACGCCACTTACAGTGCTGCATCACTCAATGTGTAATGTATGTACATTCCAAATGATATATGTTAAGTTGAAAAAGAAAAGGCATTTCACGTTAACATAAGTTTGGAAGTGATAGCTTTATTTTTCGTTTTAATTTCAGACTCATTCGGACTTCTGTAGCGTCGTAGACAACAATACCAGTATTTGGGCCAGTGTGTCTTTTGCGGATTCATGGCCACACGAAAACAACAATCATCTGTTTGTGAAGTAAGAATTACTTATTGTTGTTAATTTAATGTTCATAAATATTTTCTTTAACCTACTGTTACAATTTACTCTCATAATTAATTTTTAATGCGTAATTTTTGTTAATTATAAAAAAAAAATGAAATATCTTGCTAACTTATAAATTGGTAAATTTCTCAGGGCAGCAGAGAAAAGAAATTTTGAAGCAGTAGTCAAACTAGCGGTTGCTTATCTGTATAAGGAAGAGCGTAAGTATGCCTGGCTTTGTAATGCATGAACACTGTGTCCGTCACTGTAGATTTTATTTAGCGTTCTGTTCATTATTTTAATAACATGGATAAGATGAGACATGATCTACAGGAAAAGTTTCGTTATTTTGGGGGGGGGGGGTTTAAATCCTGTCACCCAGAGAAGCACAAAACTTGGCGCTTCCGGTCTGTGCCTCGGCCCCATAAATGTCTCTTTCCCGGCTTACTAGAGACCTATTTACAAGGAGCCCTGTCAATATCATTGCTTTGGTTTTTTTTTTTCTAGACAAGGTTTTAAAATGACTAGTAACAAGTATAGTTGCTAAATTAGGGTTTCTTTGTGGAAAATAGCATTATTTAGGAAAATTAGACGTCAGAATTTCCCGTTAGTTACAGCAGCAACTGGCAGCCAGGTCACAGGGTTCAGAACTGCCATTGAAAATTTTTGGTGTCCTCTCCAAAGTGGGAGCTTGCTGTTGTGGATATGTGCGCCCACTGCCGTCTATGAGAATAATAGATGGCCTGATGGTAAGGTAACAACATTTCACATGGCGCAATACTTGTAACACTCTCTGAAAGCCACACAACTAGTCTGCAGATAAAATAAGCATGTATTAGTGTGCAGACGAAGAGGTAGTTATTGTTTGTGTGATCATCTTTTTATAGTGTATGCCATGTGGCGTTGGTAGTCAAGTCTATCCACAGCCTACTGTCTGGTGCACTTTCAGTAAATTTCGACAAATATAGTCCTCCATACCATGATGTCAGACTGTCTAGTATCATCTTTCTCAGTCTACCTCTGCATCTTTTCTCCTGTAACTTCCCTGTTGTCACGATGTACTCCAGTTTTCTTCTTCCCTTGACATGATTAAAGAATGTAGCTTGTCTCCGAATGATATGAACAGTTTTTTTCCAAGACATCTTCATTACTCTTTTTTATCTGTGCAGGGTATTCTCATCATTTGTCTATAGAACCACATCTCTGCTACTTCCAAATAATTTTTCTCCAACTCTCCAGGATTCACTTCTATATATCAGGATAGGATTTATATAGCTGTTGGGAATTATTTTTCTCATCTCAACAAAGTTTGCATTTGCATGATTATAGTGTCATGTTTTTTTTTGTTTCTTCTTCTTCTTTGCATTCACTGGCTGCAAACTTCTACGGAAAGTTCTGGTTGTTTATCCATCTCGGGACTTAAGTCTGGTTCCAGAACTTGTGTGTTGCGTGCACATCCATTTAACAGATCTGACTTATTCATATGCAGATTGTTGGTTCCTTGCCTCTCTCTCAGGCAGATGTACTCCGACTTCGAAGAAAGCCCCCACTTAGTCGACTCTTATGACATGCTTATTGTTGAAGCAGTGAGTCTGTTCTTCTTTTCCCCACAATGGGGCCCCAGAACCCACACGTGGAGTGTTATGTTTAATTGTTCATCTTTCAGTTACAGGTGACGATGTAGCAGTGGCAAGCAAAGAGGCTGCACACTACCTTTGCCAGGCTGAAAAATTGACACCAAAAACGTTCCCTTTCTTCTGGATCTTTATACGCCCACCATGGTCACCTGAAGGGTCCTGCTGCAAGCTGAAGGCTTTCCTGCACATTAAAGAGATGCTGGAAACGGTATGTACTTATTTAATTCTTCTCGTTATATTTGTGAACTCCTAAAATGTATAGATTTGGGGTGTGGGGTGTCACATATCACTCCTGTCACGTGCCTGATTTAAGGATTTCTCCTTCAGAACCAACAGCACTCAGAAATAGTTATGTTGAGTCGTTTGGCTCGTATTGGTCTAAGGGATTCCCCGTGGCCAATATATGCTCAACTTATTTCTGGAGTAGGGCAACTAAAGTTTTGGCACTACAAAATATATCTGTATATGAATACAATATTCCTAGGCACACTTGGCTGGACACCCCCACTACTATAAAAAGAAAGCTCCCAGGTTATGATAGTTTGCTATCATAACCATGTTAACACATATAATATTAAGGTCCATACACACAACAATGCTAAGCACTTAGAAAGGTGAAATAGAAACACCTAAGTCAGCCATGAAAATGAATGCATGTAATCAATACAATATATACATAAAATAGTGAAGTAGACACCAGATCTCAGTGGATGGATCCTAGAATACAATGACCAGACTCAACAGAAATCTAAACAGCCAGAAAGTCCTGGAGGTAACACAGTCTCATCCTTGGAATCCATTGGAGCTGTGGGGAATATAGCATGACATAGAATCAAACTGGCACTTATCCTAGTTCCACTGTTGATGCTTCCCTCAGCTCCTCATGATTCGACTGTCTTTGACTCTGGTAATTCTGCTTCAAGTGGATCAGGTAGTAGAGGAGTACCTCACCATAGAGGACATAGTTTATTTATTCATAGAGGACACAGCAACTGTATAGGTACTCAGCAAGTCTCTCCCACCGGTCAAGTCACAATTCTGTCTCTGAGCTCCACCAAGCTCCTGAAGACTGGTATACTCGAGTATGGATATACTCTCTGCAATTGTTCACCTGCTCTGGAGTTCACTCACATGCTCTGGCACTGTTAGGATGTTTGGGGTATATGGCACCCCATGATGATGATGCCAGGTACCTTCACTGGTGTTAGTTGGTGGGTGTTGGTTGGACGGTGATTATTCTGCCAGCTCTTCACAAAGGTTTCATCCTGTCAGGAAAGAACTCAGAATTAGTCATCACCAAGAGGGTATTATCTTGACAGGAAAGACTCAGAATAAGCATTAGTCACCATCCCACATCAGCCTACTCCACCTCTGCTCCTCTGTTTTTTTCCTCAGAGTGTACTCTCAAGACCAGGAGACAATGTCTCCTATCATTTATCTGTCTGTTTAGTGCAAGAGATGGAAAGTCAGATATATATGTAGTGGAGACGGATAGACACTATCACACGTATCTCAATTTCTCTCCTTCCTCCCATCTGCACACAGACACCAATGTTTGCGGTCAATATCCCTATCCCCTACGACTCTCAAGCCATTCCCACACATCCATTGATCTGGGTCAAACACACTTAACGCAACGCTCTGGCTGCCCCAGTACTGACCTAAATTCTCCGTCCCCATTCGTATGCACAAACTTCTGTTGTTAGTTCAAATGGTACACACTTGTAGGGTCATTATCTTTACCAATATGTGTGGGTTATTTAGGGCATATGCTATTTAGTCTGTACAGAAGAAGGTCTAAGTTCGAATCCGCTTCTCTAGAGATCAAGAACGGTCGAACTAGGTGTGATCCCATAACCGATTCTGATCTCTCTACAGCAGTGACCAACTTTAAAAAGATATATTTAGGGTACTCGTAAACTATAATTAACTTGCCCAAGCATAGGAAATGTCCTAGACATTACAGGCCGCCTTCTTAAGTTGAAATTTACTGAGGCATAGATGAATACATCTTAGCTCTAGGAAAGCCGGCAGAAACAATGCCCGCACAAATTCAAGTTAGGCGTCGGTAAGAAGAAGTTCCCTGTATATATGAGCAAGGAGTAAACCGGTTTCCAAGAATATTCAAATAACTCCAGCAATATTTATCATACAGTTGCAAATTTGAAAATGACGCTAAGTCAAAGCAACTAGAAGATGTAGACATTATAATTTTATCCGATAAAGGCATATATTGATATAAGGGACTATATACCTTTCCGGACGAGTCCAAGTTTGAAAGTTTTGTCGAGCACAGGTAATACAGGACCCGACTCTTATACGGTAATGTGTAGTGGGTTGTCATTCCTTGACCGGGGGGGGGGGGGGGTTATATATTTTACATTCACTTCCTTGTGGGTGCTGGGTCCCTATTCTAGGGGTAAGGTGTTTCTCTAACAAGCATGTCATAAACGGTGACTAAGTAGGGGTTTGTTGAAATAGTGTTTTGGGCTGAAAGGTTCTAATATCACAGCCTAGCTGTAAACGACAACTCAGCATATTACCTTCAACCCCCTTTAAGGCGTATGAAAAAAAACCTCTTTTTCTGTGTGAGTGTATATTGCCTAGACCTGTTTGATTTTTTTTTTTTTTTTTTTTTTTATGTATAATATTTTGTTTTATCTCAAGTTTTTTTTTTTCCCCGTTAAGCTATTTTCTTTCTTTATCGTTCAGTTTTTTGCCCACCTTTTATTCCTCCCCCCCCCCCCAAATGTTTGTTTATTTTAAAAAATAAAAAATTACTTTGTCATTTGACACATTAAAATAATTTTTTATTATATTGACAATAAATCTTTATGATTGCAACTGCTAAAACCATAGCTGTTAGTCTATGTAACTTAAAACTTTAATTGCTTTGAATTGATTTTTGGCTGTGTTATGAGCACCATACAATCCAGAGAGCAATGCAAACTACTAAACTTAAAATTGCCTAGGAAAACCACAAACAACCCACCAAAGCTACAGCTATTTTGCAATTTCCTGTAAAAGACCCACAGCTAACATGTTTTTTTTTTAAATTGAAAATATTTTGTTATTGGCTGTTGACAAATAAAGAAAAAGAAAAGGGGAGAAATTTCTGACCCATTCAACACATCCTTTGTGAGCATCGGTTATATTTAAGACTTGCCTGTGTTCATTGAGTTTAACTCTTCTTTGTGCCATACGGTTATGCCTGATTTTGCTTCTTTTATTCACGGTCCAAAGGTCAGTATGTTTTTTTTTTAGTCACAGCTCACTGGATTAATTTCACCCTAAGAAAAGCAAAAATCGGGCATAACTATGCCACACACAAATAGTTTATTTTCGTAAACAGAATGTCTTTTAAATTTTCGTAGTACTTATTCTTGAGCACTTACATTTTTCTCATAAGTTCTTTTGAATGCTATTTCCAGATTGATCACCCTGATATAACTTTTGGTACTGCCTTGATACTGAAGCTGCAGCGGATGGCAATACATGGGGACTTTAAAGCTGAAGAAGAAAAATACTTTAAGAGGGCCATTGACCACAACTCGCCGGCTGCTGCATTTTTCAATTTAATGGATGCAATTGCTGTAAATGAGGTAATTATGTACTGTGGTAAACTGTTTGTATTATAAAAATGCACTTTACTTGTTGGTGGCTAAGTTCAGTTCTTCTATTCTGTTTGAATTAAAAGCTAAAGATGACAGGTTGTCACTTATATTATTTTATACACCTTCTCCCTGACTCACAACCATCTGCACTTATGACCACAAAAAAGAAAGCAAATAAAGTAAGATAACTACATTGGTAGCTTAGCTGTAAACCACAACAGAGTGTACCAGTCACACTCTTCAAAGGCATACACAGAAGAAGATGAAGAATACACATAGACTTCTTCACGTTTACCGGCTGTCAAATTCTGGTTGTTCGCCCACCTCTGGACTTTAGTCTTGTTTCAGAACTTGAGTGTTGGGTGAACATCCATTTTACAGATCTGGCTATTTGTATTACTATTGGTCCTTCGCCTCTCAAGCAGATGCAGCCTGGATGCCCCTAATTAGTCAAATCCTACGACATTCTTGTTGGGGAGGCATGGGTCTGTCCTTGTTTTCCCCACAATCAGGTCCCGGACCCCACACGGGAAAGACTCTACCTCATGGCATTCAAAACTGCATTTGCATACAGTTTTGTAATTGTAAACAGATTTTCTTTTGCAGCTATTCTTGTTCATGATGTTAACTCTTTGTGTGTTAATTAATTTTAGCCGGACAAAGGTAAAGAACTAGAAAAGGTGCGATTGCTTCGGCAAATTGCGTCAAATGATGTCTTGGAAGCAAAGTTGAATCTCATCAGGTATTATACTCAAGGACTCTATGGTGGCATTTCCAAAGAAAAAGCTCAAGAATATGTACAGCAGTTTTTCAAGTCCTCAGAACCTTCAGGAATCCATGTGATATTCTCAGGAAGTCAAACATCAGATATTAGGTAAGGAATTTGTGTCTGTTGTATAGTTATTTAACAGAAGACATTCTTTTCAGTAGACACAACTTTTTGCATGTCTATAGATGAGGAGAGCCCTTTAGGCTCTCTGTAGGAATGTGTTCAAATACAGTCGAGTCTGTATAAGTAGAAGTCGCAGGGACCTAAGAAAATGCTTCCACTTATCAGGACTTCTACTTATCCAGACAGCACACACAATAGAGAAAATTGCCAGGACTAAGCTGGTCATATCGACCTAACCGAAAGTCGACTTATTCAAGTTCGACTTAAGTGTACTTGACTGTAGTTAACATTTGTTGGATGAAATGCTACCAACCTGAGCCTAATCCTGGCTAGTCTGTAAGTGTTGTATTGAATAATTAACTAGTTACATCCCTGTCTGTCTGCCTATCTCTCTCTTGTCTGTCTCCGCCTGTCTGTCTACTCTTCCTATCACTGGTAAAACATAGGGCATTCACAAGTAATCTCTGCTGCTATTTTTCTACCATCTGATCATGTCAGTTTACATTCCTTCATTTTCCCTTCTACTGTCCAGGTATCCTTGGGTCGTCCTCATCTCCTTGTCCCAGCTGTCCTTGCCGAAGTATAAGATATTCTGCAAACATGTCCAAGCCATCTTCCTTTGATAATACCTTTCAGTGATGGATATTGATTTTGTAATCCTTCTATATTCTTCATTTGTGTCTTGTTGACCCTAGATATTCAAAAATTTCTCCATAGACATTTATTACATCCTAATGTTTTCACAAATATGATGTTATATCTCCTGGATTTTTAGCTGGGAGATGAAAATAAGAGCTAGATGGGAATAAGAGCTATTTAACAGTCAGTATGGGGATCTGTGCAACAGGCTAAGAGAAAAGTCCCTATACCAGTCTCACCCATATATATTCGAGGCCCTTTCAGCTCCCAGATGACTTAATGTCATTTTTTTCACCTTTAAGATGATTGACAAGATGCAGATATTGAAATATTTGTACAAGAATGACTAATATCACATTTTCGTGTTTACTTTTTCTGGACTACAGCCGCTACATCCTAATAGATTGGCTTGTGGAAGTTGTTGGAATGAAAGACTTCTCTGCTCATGTTCTGTACTTTGCAGTCAGCTTGTTTGATCGTTTCTTGCAAGTCAGGAGAATTCAACGCAGCCAAGTTCAGCTGTTGGGCGTTGCTGCAATTGTTGTCAGCTCCCGGTAAGTCATCTGTTTTGTTGAAATTTTATGTTGAATAATGCTCACCAGGATTTTTGTTGCTCGTAAAGTAAGATACACAATTTGAAGCCTTCAGACATTGAGTTTAAGAGGCTAGTCCCACGTTTTGCTGACAAACCAAGACTTACACTTGTCATTACTTCCCAGAATATTTCCTATTACCTTATTTATCGTCAGAATAGAAGACGGGGTCTTTTTGGGTCAGATACATGGCACTGGGCCAGCAGGCATGGATACTAGCACAACATTACTTAAGGGCCATATCCTTTGATACCTGACTATAAACTCTCTGCCTCTTTTACTTTCCATCTTCCCTAGTGATGTAGTGTATTTGTTTGCTCCTTCTCGTGTTATGTTATGTTAGTTGTCATGTTATGTTAGTTGTATATCCTTTACAGGACATTGCAGAGCCAACCCCATCATTTTTTACTTTTGGTTTATCTAGACAAATTTACATCCAGTAGTTTGCCATTGCTTTCTAGACGGTCAGCTTTTTCAATACCAGTGCAAAGCGCAAGGCCCGCAGCTGGGATCGAAACTGGCACCCTAGAATTACGAAGCGCACTCGCAGCGCCTAAGCCACAAATGCCCACCTTTCATGACATGACTTAATACTGTAGAATGCCACCTTCTGATAGTTTTATAGAGTTCATATGTTATTTTCATTTTTGCATTTTAATAAATCTGTAATGATGTTCACTGCAGATTTCTAGGCTTTGAAATTTTAACGATAAGGGAGGCTGCTTGGCTCACTGACAACAGCTACACATACTACGATGTTGTGAGAATGATGGGAGAACTTGTTGCAACCCTGCGTGGAAACCTGAGGGTAAATACATTGTCTCATTTGACTGAATTTATTTTATTGAAATTTTCAGTTCACTGTGATGACTTCAGTTTGTTATGTTTTTGATGGGTGGAAGCAGCTACTGTCTTGTTTAATTGTTTACTCACATTTGATCACTATTTAGTTTTATTCTAATAGACGATCTGGACTTTTTGTTGGTGGTGTCAGTGTTTGAAATAGTTTGTTTAAAATTTTTTGTTCCCAAAGTAGTTGTTCATGCTTATTGTGTGTGCATGTGATTACAGTAATGCTCTTTAAAATATTTTACTTTCATCAGAGATTTATTTTTAATTTTAATGTCTTTGGTTTGGTGTGTATTTTATGCCCTTTTGTCTTCCACATCATTTATTTTATTTATGTATGGGGGGGGGGTGGGGGGGGGGGGGGGGGGGGGGCTGTTAGAACTGGCTAAAGTTGCTGCTTTTTAGGGGGACATATTGAAATGAATAAAAGAAGATTCAACAAAGTCAGAGAAGACAATAAAAAAAAAAAAAAAAAAAAGACCAGCTTACACAAAACATTAACACAAGCACATAAAAGGTTCTTACATCTGTCTCTAATACTCCGCTTTACTAGGTAACTGGAGAGAAAGAAGTTAATTGTGCCTGTTTTGCTCCAGTTTACTTTTTCTTTCATATATAATTCTTGTGTGCAGTTTAATTTTGTTTTTCAATGAAAGTTTGTGAATCCTTCCTGGCAGGCACTGACTATCCAGGATTACACCAAAGTGCTGCTGACTATCATCAATGAATCTGGCTATGCTGGTGTACTCACAGAGTACATCTCCATGTTGTGTCTGCTGCAGGCAGAGATGGGACAGTACAGCCCTGCAGAAATTGCTGCTTCGTGTTTGCTGCTGTCCAGGATTTTGCTTAACCACAGTATGTTATATCACTGAATTGTGTACAGATGTACACATTATTTAACTTGTGTTTACAATCAGTTTCAAAGTAAAATAGAGTATTTTTATTTGTTGTTGTTAAAATTTCATTTAAAGTAATTCTCCTTTAAACATGCCTTAGATTTATTGTTTAGGCATTTAAAATAATATTCACGTCTTCAATATTGAAGCAAGGGGTTGGTTGATTTTGTTTACTTGTAGTTTCCTTGCATTGTATATTTCCTTCTTAGGTTTTTTTTTTTTCTCTCTATAAAATATGCACATGTATTTGTTAGTTGTGTAGAAATTAATGTGACAGCCTTTGAAGTCTGCCTGACACTAGGGACCACAGTCTGCATAAAAAATAATCTATAAAACGGATGTGCACACAGAATTCAAGTTTGGAAACAAGACTGAAATCAACAACCATAACTTTCTGCTGGAGTTTACAGCCGGTGAACACTAAGCAGAAGAAAAATATGGGACATTTGCACTAAAAGCAATTTGTTGTAAATTTTCCTAATTTATGTGAAACTTCATTTACCTCTAAGTATGTCCTCCTCTTCTTCTTCCTCATCTTCTTCCTCCTCCTCCTCCTCTTCTTCTTCTTATTCTGCTTTCTCCTCTTCCTCCTCCTCCTCAAATTTCTCTGATGCCTTCCTTTTAACAGCATAATTGAGCATCTCCCTGCTTCAGATCAATACAGCAGTACTGACTTAACATGAAATAATATTACAAGTTTGGTAGCAGTTTTAATTTCCTTTGACTTCTACACATTTTTTGCGTGCTGTGAAAACTATTGCCTTTTGTAGTCATATTTGTGTGTATTTATCTCTTTCTCCATCTTTACCTTTATTACTAAATTAAATAAGTGTATGATATTGCATGTTGTAGTAGAGTTTCACAAAGAAATATTAAATTATTATTTGGCTTGTTTATTCTCAGTGTCTGTATTTTCTTTGTTGATTTCTGAGATCTTGTTATTGCTGTCTCTCTTTAAGTATGCTTAATTTATCTTGCATCTGCATTTGTGAGTGGGATAGAAGTTTATGTTGATTATGTTGGTTATATTTTTATATTCAAATCTGTAAATTGTTTTTGTTTCTTGTAGCTGATGCATGGCCAGCAGTACTGAAAGAATGGACAGGATTCTCACAAGACTACCTCAGTTTGTGCACATTCCACATATACAACAAATGGTATGCTTTTGTTTGGGGGAGGGGGGGGGGGGCTGTACCCAGCATTAGCGTTGATTGTTTTAAAATCATTGTTCCCAGTTTAAAAAATAATTAAAATTAATTAAAAAGAATAGGTTCATTTTGAGATAGCTAAAGTAACTGATTTTTTCTTTTCTTTTTCTGATCCTTCTGTCTTGCAATGCCCAGTTCCCTGTGTGGCTCTCTTTTGGTTAGAGAAAAAATAGACCTACTACCCCACCTCTCTAACAGCATGTCATAAAAGTAGACTAATTAGGGGTGCATCCTTCGAAGTCGGAGTTCATATGCCTGATAGGTAAGGAACCAACAGTGTGCATACAAATAAGCCAGAAATGTAAAATGGATGTGCTCGTAAAACCTAAATTCTGGAGCAAAACTAAAGTCCAGAAATATGCGAACAACCAGAACTTTCCCCCAGGGTAAAATCCTCTGAATGCCAAGAAGCAAAAGAAATTAATTAAACGAAACTACACTGTGAGATAACCAGAGTAGCTGGTGTGTTGTTGTTCTTCTGTCTTATAAATCCCTATCCACACCAAATCCTTTGTAAAGTCTTGCTCACTATTGGTTGGATTTCCAGATTGTCTTCTGTGGATTGGAATGAGGTGGCTGGACTCAGACCTACCCTCGGTCTAATTTTGCAGCATGCTGGTAGCATACGATGTTAATACCCTTTAGTTCTGCCTCTCAATTTTGAAGAATAAAGCAGAGACCCCCCACACACGCACTCGCTTGCGCTCAGTTAAAAAAAAAAGTGGGGGGGAAATGCCAGATATTATTCACAGGAACTTGTAGAAAAACATCAACAAATCAAGGTATCGAATAACATAAAAGAAACAGGCATTAACAACTGGTAATTTAGTGTCTAAATATCACTGTGATGGTTGACGCTATTGTATCTATGTCCCCCTTACCGAAGTTGAAGACCACTGATGTATAAAGTTGCCCAGCAGCTGATAAAGTTGCAATTTCTCCTATCTTCCTCTTCTTTCGTTAGCCTGAAATAATTTGTCTGTATCAACAATTTTGTCTCTTGCATAAATTTCACTGTCATTACAATTTCTCCTATATTCAATTTATTCTTCTCTCTTTTGCTGCCTGTACTTTTTTCTCTGAGTTTACACATTCATTTCTTTTATTCACTGATTGGGTTTTAAACGTTTGTCAGTCACATGTCTAATAGGAGCCACTGTGCTGTAGTGGCTAGATGCTTGCCTGCGGATCCGAAGCTCGTCGGTTCAGGTCCTGCCCGGGGCCGGACTTTAAAAAAAAAATGAGCAGGTCAGCCCAGCCTTAAATTTGTACCAGGTAAAATCCTGGGAAGTAGAAGCGGCCGACTTTATTTTCACCACATCACCTGCCAAGTACCGATTGGTCTATAAAATATAGCATGTTTGTTTACTTGATTGTTTTCTAGCTTGATGGAAGGTTCAGAAATGGAGTACCGGGACACAATACTGCAGGCTGTGAAAACAAGATATGCTGACCCTCTTAGATATTCTGTCAGTAGCATGAAGGTTTGTACTTGTTTATTGATGTGTATACAATTTTGTTTTAAAGAAGTGCGGTTGTTTAAGTGTGTGTGTCGACATTAAAGTATGAGTGCGTCATTAAATGGATAAAATGTATGGCATGGTAAAGGAGAATATACTAAGGTCACTAAGCATTTGTCGTGCTTGAATATAAATTGTTTGATATATTCCACTGATACTTAACGTGATAAACAAATTACGCGGTCTGCACACACACACACACACACAAAAGTACCAAAACCCACTTATAACAGTTCTATTTATTGCATCTACAGTCAGAAAACCTTATATTGTGAACTATAAAGAGCTCTGGTATCTTCTTCCCATTCACCACCAGAAAATCCTCATTCATCCATCTGGATTTTATATCTTGTTCCAGGACTTTAGTGTGCTTTACAAATCTGGCTTTGTATGCAGGCTGTTGGTTTCTCTCCTCTCGGGTAAATGCACTAGGACTTTTGAAGACAATTTTGATACTTTCTATGTTGACGAGGCTTTACCAGTTGGGACCTGTTCCTAGGGTGACCGCAGAGAGGTGTAGCTAGGTCTAGACCAGTGTGAGATCTGACCCAGGTGTACCCCAAGGTGTGGTTTAGCACCTCTGCATCAAACAGATCAGTTATAAACAAACATTCCCTGTGTGTTTTCCTAGGCCCCATTGTGGGGGAAAACAAGAACAGCCCAACTGCCTGCCCTAAAGCATGTCAAAAGAGTCAACTGGGAACTTCCTTAGAAGTCGGAGTACATCTGCTTCGGAGGCAAGGAACCTGCATGCAGATGAGTCTGACCTGTGAAACAGATGAGCTTGCAACACTCAGTTTCTGGAATAGGATTAGAGTCCAAAAGTGGGGGAACAACCAGAACTTTCTGCCAGTTTACTGACTAAACGCGAAGAAGAAGATAAATAAACATCATTTTGCTAGCGTACGTTCTTACCCACACAAGACGGCAGGTTACACCTGGCTGGTGTATCTCTTACAGGTGCCCTTATAACTTCTGTGGAGGTTGAATGTGTGGGGGGTGGAAGGATGTGAGATCTGCCTTCCAGACTGAAATATTTTGATCTTAGGATGGTATGGTAAACCTTTAGGGAAGATATAAAACTGAACGAAAAGTTGATTAACGAGCTTCACAGTATAACGAACACCAACAAAAAGTGAACGTTGCGGCTACAGAGCCTTCATCATTTGCATCAATCAAACAATACCACACGGATACACAAAATCCCTTAACTGACATATTCCGAATCAGCCACATTGATGTCTAGCTAGTGTTAACCTTTAGGTAGCATTCTGCAGGGGACAGACTGATCGATCGATTTGCTGGTACCCAGAAAGTGATGTTTGCAATGTAAATCAAGCACGTTTGTTAAATTATGCTTTATCCTATCGTGCTAAAAAATTTTTTTTGTCTTTTTCAAAACAGCTCATTGGACATAAAGAGCTGTGTCGCCGCCTTGGAGTGACCAAGTTGATAACTCATGGGAAGGATACCAAGGCTGTAAAATTTCGAAACACAGATGAACTAATCATGTCTCCTCATCGCAGCCTGAGATCAGAATATCGTCACAGTGTTAGCGAGGGATGGGTGAATCGTGATAATGCAGCGACGCCTCCAATAAGTGTTCCGTATGTAATGGATGAGGGCTTTAGTGGCTATGAGGGGGACCTAGAATCAGAATCTGACGGTAAATTGTTCTAATTTTGTTTTGTTTCATAATTATGATTTTATTTCACGCTGTCTTAGATCTTATTTATTCTATCTTTAATCACCCAAAGGAATATAGACCCTCCACCAACTCACACGAAGTCCTATCTGTTACCATTTCAAATAACTTCTTATGTGTTCTATGTATTATCTGTTTTCTAATTGTTTTCTTGTTTTTGGTCCTGACTTTATTTCTTTAAATCCGTAAGTTCCACCTAGTTATGCTGTTTAAATTTGTTTAAATGTCCACTATCTAGAACCATCTTCTTTCTTTCACCTTTTGATTCACTTCAATCTATTTAGCCCTCTTAGGCTCCTCATAAGTGATTCTGTCATACCATTTGATTCTTCATAAAGATACCACTTAATTTTAGTTTATAGTTAATATTTCTAGTTGCATGAGGCATTCTGCTTGATTCTATAGTGATGTGTTATTAGAGTTTGATATCTAAGGTCTGATTTTGACTTTTGTTAATTGTCTAGTCTTTTTGACTTCTTCGTGCTCACCAGCAGAAAGTTCTGGTTGTCCACTTCTGGACTAGTCTTGCAGAAAACAATCAGATCATCCTCCAGTGGATCCTGGCTCACTGTGGCATACCAGGAAATGAGTTAGCAGACAGACTTGCTAAAAATGGAACAAAGGAGAAACAACACACCCATCGATTGTCATTACCAGAAATCAGAACACTTATCAAGGGGAAATAGCAGGAATAGTGGAGAGAACAAACAGTAAACATCCACAAGACCGCATCAGCAGACTCAACAGAAAGCAACATACAACAATGTTCTGTCTACGAACAGGACACTGCAGGCTCAACTGCCTCATGCATAAAATAAAGATTGTACAGTCTCCACAGTGTGCATGTCAAACAGGACCACAAACACCTTAGCACATTTGCAGACCTGCCTACTCTACATACAACTTTAAAAAGACACCTGGCCTCAAGAGCAAAGTGTGCAGAGCAAGCTATGGGAAACCATGAAGGACCTACTACTGACATGTGAGTTCATAGAGGCAACCCACCTGATGGTCTGATCTGAGCATACGAAACCGAATGCGATGAAGAAGAAGGACTGTAAGTCTTGTGCCAGAACCCCAGCACCCCAATCAATTAGTCGACTCTTACAAAATGCTTTTTGGTGAGGAAGTGGGTCTGTTCTTGTTTTCCCCACAAAGGGACCCCCGTAACCCACACAGGGAAAATATTCTAGTTTTATGAAAGCTTTTCTTGCCTATTGTGATCTAACTGTATCGTTCAGTGGAGGAAATGTGTTGTACCACAGCCTTTCGTAGAGGTCTTCGGTTTTCTCATCTAAAACCCAGTAGCAGGGAGAACAAAAGGAAGAAGTATTTTTTTTTTTTTTTAATGCCAATGTCTGTTCCCCATCTCCGCTGTTACATGCATGTGTTTCACACTCTGATAGAAGCACACAGCCTGACAAAATTAAATATCGAAACTGATTTCTGTCATGGCCCCCAGAAATACCATCCACAAAGCAAATCATATAACCAAAACGGGCAACATTTTGTCTATGATCTGGCAAAATTAATGCCGACCAGTCAGCAGACAAGTAACCAAATATTATCTTTGGCTAGTGAAAGGTGTATAATTACATTAATCAGTCTCATGACTTAAATGTCATACTGTGTATTCCTGATGTTTCTTTTTATTCTTCTTTGTTCACATCTGTAAGCTCCGGCAGAAAGTCCTGGCTGTTCGTATATTTGGTTTTGTGCTAAGGCCGGAGTTTTAAGTGTATATCCATCCATTTAACCGGCTTGTGTGCTGTGCTGGTTGTTCCTTGCCGCTCGGACAGATTCACTCTGACTTCAAAGGAAGTCTCCATCTAGTCAACTCCTGCGACATGCTTGTTGGGGAGGCAGTGGGTCTATTCTTGTTTTCCCAACAATGAGACCCCAGGAACCCACACGGGTTGCAGATGTTTGTGTTCCTCATCAAAAGAAAGTACGGTGTGTGATTGTTTCTGTATATAAGAACTTTCATTTCCTTCATGTAAAATTATAGTGATTTTTTATATAAATGAAACACTATTTGTAGCGGTAGCCTGAGTATCATGGGCAAAGGTGCACAAAATGGAATATAAAATCTTATTCATTTTCTTTGAGATTTTTCAGAAAGTTAATGATTATTGTAATTTGAAGAATTCTTTATAAAAAAATTGAAAAATTTTTTTTTTTTTACTAGTGAAAAAGTGAACTGTACAGCCAAAAATAATTTCTGCATGGGCATGGTTGAGAAAATATATTATCATCACATGCTTAAACTAAAACTGTTTGTATGTTTAAAATAATAAAAGCCTACTTTTTTCCTCTCCTCAGAATCTGGCGATAAATCAGGAGTCATGTTTGAGATCCTGGATGCATCTATTTTAGCAGACGATGGCAAACAATGGTACTCCTCTGTTGAAGATCACTTTGCTGATGACCAGAGTGATGACGCAGAGTCTCTCCTGCAAGATGAAGTTAATTTTCATGGCGACAGAACATCTGACCTTGACATGAACAATAGAATCGCCTGCTTGTCCAGCATGTGTCAGTCAGGGGGCAACCTGGCATGCCACTCTTCAGTGTCATCTCCCTCACCCTGCATTTCTAACTGTTCGTGCAAGAAATCCTACAATTTAGCTACTTCAGCACTGTCATTATCTTCACCTTCCCTGGCATATCCATCTTTAGACTCGTCGTCGTTATCATCTTCATTATCGAGTTCCTTACCGGCACTCAATCACGGAAATATAAGAACATTTCTACCATGTGGCAGTATTAGTTCGGCTTCCAAAGGGTCCAGGAAAAGTCAGTCAGACAGTTGCTCAAACCGTTGTGATATCCTAGCTCATACAAAGCAAGTTTGTGATGAAACCCCATGCCCTTCACATTTAGCCCAGTCTGCAGCAGCAAGTAGCTACATCATGAGGAAAGCCCGCTCGTCTCAGGATTTAAGAACTGCAGATCCTGTAGCAAGTCATGATACAGACATAGTTTTTGACATAAGCTGGCAGTCTCACCCACAAGACATTGTTGGATCAGTATCAGAAAAGCAGTTTTATGACTTGGGTACTGCAGAAAGCTTGTCTTCCCAAGTAATCCTATCTAAGGATGGGGACTGTCTTGAAGCCAAGGAAAGCTTCAGTATAGAAAGCTCCAGTGAATATTTCTCAGATGCATCTCAGGGTTCAAGTTGCAATAATAATATTTATACATCAAGTTATACTCAATCAGAAGGCAGCAATGATTTTCATCATATCTACTTCAAATCATCTTTATTACCAGACTCATTGCCATGTGACCACAGCGTCGATCAGGGTTCTCACTCATTGTATCTGGACCATTGTGTGTCATTTGCTGACTCCCCGCAGCCTGGCAGTAGTAATGGTTATGTTTTAATCCCTACAGAAGATTTGCCTGAAATGGATGCTACCTTTAACAACATATCCAACCATAAGCTGCTTCTACGTTGTGTTGGTGCGCATGGAAATCTGCACATTCCTGCCACGCCTGAGTCAGTTGTGGACATGCAGAGGTTCAGCAGCAGAGCCAGCACAGTGGTTAGGAACCAGGAGAGCTTCACTTGCAGTTCATTTAGTGAAACAAGCTCGTCAAGATTCACGACGAAACGAGCAAGACTGGAATACTCGGGTTCACTGTCTGCCTCTGTTGACTATGCGCTGAGGCAGCTAGACTTAGGTGTTGATAGGAATGCATGTGATAAGGCAGAAGAATCGGCAGATTGCCTACCAGTAAAGTTGTTAGATGAATTTTGTGTCAGTGATAATGCATGTGATGCTAGCTCAAAACTGTCTTTGAAAAGGAAGAGTTGTAAGTAGTCTTCATTTAAGTGAACTTGTTTTTCAGATGTGTATAGGCATTAATTAGTGTTCCACTTGACAGCTCAAAATGATGTCACTTGTCATTTTAAACAGCAGACATTTGACAAATTATTTAACTTGTGTTGTTTACAATCAGTTTCAAAGTAAAATACAGTATTTTTTTACAATTTTATTTAAAATCATTCCCCTCTAAACATGCCTAAGATTTTTATTTTTTATGCATTTTAAAAAATATTCACGTCTTCAGTATAGAAGCAAGGGGTTGGTTGATTTTGTTTACTTGTAGTTTTCTTACATTGTATATTTCCTTCTTAGTTTTTTTCTCTCACTATAAAATATATAAAAGATTTGTGTCATGTCCTTTAACATGTTGCAGTTGTGAATAGAGAGTGTTACTGATCTGAAGCTGTGTAATGTATGTACATTTGCAATAACATTAGAATATTAAACATGCTGTGCCAAACACAGTGAGTTTGTTCCCTCCAGTAAAATTTGTGATTACTTGCGCCTCTTTAATTTAGATGTTTTAATCACTGAATGACCTTGAAGTTGAAGATGGCTAGTATCCATTTCCTGTATTCACACGTCAGAGCTTCAACCATGCAGGCTGACGTGTAGATTCATTTTGGAGAGAACTCAGTTAACCCTTTGGAAATGACGCGGCCGGAATATCAACCCAACAAAAAATAGCCAATAGGACGGCTGGGCCAATCTGTCTGCCTTGTTCAATACATGCCTTGAGATTAGATGGCAGGTTTTTGTGCAAGCCAGTCAGATGGCTTCTTTCATTTCATGCACATACGAGCTGTTTGGTGACAGCGCTCAAGTAAATTTGATGTGTTCTGTAATTTTATAGCTATTTTGTTTTGTGGGGTTACCTGTGCCTAATGATGGCACAAAAGGTCTGTTGCATCATAGCAACCGAAACATAGCAGAAGGCATGAAAATAAGTAGAACCTTGTGCCAGAAGTGTTTGAACGGCCTCCATGGACCTTACTTCCCAAAACACAAATCTTAGAACTTATTCAAGCTTCATCCATACAAAAAAACAATTCACCCAGATGTTTTAGGTTAGTCATGTTTGTCCCTAAGTTTAAAAAAAATGCTTGCATAAATTATGCAATTCAGAATAGTTAATGTGAATTAATAATGAGATTTCAGTTTAATTCATACATATTCTGTTAGTTCATTCAATTTCCTACCAGAATGTGTATAGTTTTGTATGTGTTAATTACGCGCTTTATTTAAAAAAAAATTGGGGGGGGGGGGGGTAAACTAAGAGCATCTTCTCCTGGACGCATCATTTTTTGGACGCTGAAACTCCAAAAAAGGCTCCGTCTCCAAAGGGTTAAGGGATTTACTTTTTTTAAAGGAGGGGGGGTGGGGGGTAATCCCTGTTTGTAATTTAACATTCTCTGTTCATGTCATGTGCCGATAAAGGCTTTGTACCCGTAACATTCATTGGTGATTGTGATAATGTGAAGCTAGCTAGATGTGTTTCTCATTGTGGTTTGAGATCTTTGTATGATGTGTCTGTTGTAGCATTACCATTGATTAATTACACCATTTTTGTGTTTCTTTTCTATGATGATGGTTTCCATTCTTTTCCTCTATGGTTTTTGCATATTTTTCTATATTACATACACATCAACATATCTTACAGTCCCACTTTCTCAGTTGGCCTGGCCTAGCTCTTGACTTAAAAATTAAAAAAAAAACATTTATTATAATGGCATATGCCAACCTTGCCCACTGTTTGTCCTCACTCAATCGTCCAGGCACATGTCTCCCCACTGCCTATCCCTCCCCCCTCCCCCCACACAGAAATTCACTTAGTGAAATTAACATTTGTAAACAGCATGTTTGTTCAGCTCAAGGTATGAGAAAACTGCAGTAAAGCTGTTTAAAAAATATGAAAGTTGAACTAGTCCACTCCTAAATTTTGTGTGTTATTGTAACATTGACGTGTTGTTGATATGCTGATGAATTCTTTCTAGTCTAAACATCTGTTTTATCAGTTGTGATTGTGTTTTATCGGGAAGCTAACTGATTTTCAACCTGATTGGGGGTGTTCGTTTTATCAGCATACACACCCTGACCTGAATTTCTTATTGCTGTTCTTCTCATTCGTGATCATCATCTTTTTTTTTCTTATTCTTCTGCCATTTATCCCCCAATGGAGCATAGGGTACCCTACCATGTGGAAAGCCAACCAAAATCAGCTTAAGGGCTGCTTTGATCTTAATTTCTGAATTGTTTGTTGTGACACCAGTATATTCATACTATTAGACCAGTGTCATGAATGACATGGCAGGGCCATGTGTGTCTGCAGCAGTTTTTGGTGTGTCGCTTGTTCTACAGAGATGACTTATTACAGCTGGATATTATTATTATTTTTACTTTGAATTTGATATTTATGTATCCATGATCTCTTTTGTTCATGGCATTAATTCAATAGCACATTTAATACTAAAATCGTGAAAGTGCGTTTTTTCTCTCTCCATTTATAGTTTATTACTGTTTGCAGGGATTTTATGGGCATTCTGCATGGTGTTTACAACAATCTATTGTGTCTATATTTCCGTGAGTTTATGTTAAGAACAACCAAAATGGCATGTAGCCCTGTCATAGTTTATAATTTTCTCCCAGTGTGGAGGAGGGGGGAATAGATCCACTGCCCCCTTAAAAGAGCTGGAAAATGCTGATGTTTTAGCCTAGCTGTAAATCACAAGGCAGTGTGCCAACCACTTTGTTGAGGGTGAATACAAAGAAGTAATGAAATAGTACTGTTGACACTGCAGGTGTTTTCATTATTCGGAGTTGGAAAGACATTTCTAAAATTATGACAAATTATCTCAGCGGAATGATTTATTGGTGATTAGTAGGTATTATCATCACAGTACTCTGGGCAGATCCATAGGTGCTCTGATCTTCGCCTCAGAAGCTTCATAAGTGTAAAACGACTGATAACGCTTGTGCTGTGTTGGTTAATGAAACGTCTTGTCCCCTTAGTGAAATGTTCATTTCTTACAGCTCCAGGCTGTACCTTATGTTTATCGATCTAGACAAGGATACAGAGTCATGTCCTTTAGCATTCTTGTTGTCATGGTAAGTGCTGCGCATGGCATTGAATGATGTATTATAAACATTGGGCATGTTTTAAAACAATTTATTATAACAGAATTGTCTGGGTGTATTTGTCGGCAATGCATTTTTTTCAGATTTCTTTGCAGTTACTGATCTTTGAAGATGTAATGTCTGCCTCTTTTTGCCTTTTCTTTGTCTTTTAAGCTTTTTAATGCTTATCAGTACATTGTTCTGGAGTCAGTTACCCATGGTGACATGGATTTGTTTTATGAGCAGTACAGGTCTGAGGACCTGTTAGGGCTGATAAGATAAATAGATATCATTGGCAGACCAGAGAATGTAGAAACAGCTGGCACTGCCATAATATCAGGCATGTTATTTTCTCTTGTAGCGTATGGGGAGTAAATGGCTTAGCTTTGTACATCAGCAATAGATCAACTCAAGTCCCTATAGCAGTCTCCGTAGAACATAAAAACACTTGTCTGCAGCTCAGCTCAACCCACATGATACATATATGTATGCAGGTCAACTACCTACATTAGTGCGATACAGTTTGCGACTACATATGTTCACATGGACTGGATATTATTTTTGTGTGTGTGCAAAAATAGCAATAGAATGTTGGTAATTGTGAAAGCAGTGCATTTTTAGTAATTATGATCTCATAAATTACCTTATTGCTCATTGGCACGACACTGGAAAAAGCCCAAGTAACTTGTACATGCAGAAAGTAGGGAATTCTATTAAAGTTTTTTTTATTTTCTTTCTGCATTATTAATTTTGTGACACAACAAAAGGATTTTGTAAAAGTGACTTAGGCGCTGTGGTATCACACTGACGAGCACCCTGTGTGGTCATATGTAGCCAGTCCTAAGATGAGGGGAGGCTCTTTAAGAAAAACACATGGAAAAGAGAGCTGGAGAATGAAGTTAGAAAGATGGGGAGAGCTCCATGTAATGGTGAAAGATAGAACGACTTGGCGTGAGTTGGTTAAGGGCCTATGCTCCATTTGGGGATAGAAAGGCAGAAGAAGAAGAGTGGGGAAGATACAATAACTTCTTTTATTTCAAGGAACATATTGGGGCTTCTGAAAACAAATGTGTGAGGAATTTGATGAAAATAAAATGGGATTTTGAAGGAAGTAAGAGAAATGTCTGGACAACCACAAGTTTCAACAGTCGTAAGACAGAAAAGGTGGCGCTACATTGGACATCCTGAGAAGAAACCATCACAGAATCACCAGACAGACATTAAAATGGAGAATAAAGGGATTAACTGCTGGACTAGATTCCATCCATAATATTGAACTGATACAATGGAATGGGGGACCAGACTGTGACTATGTGGTATATAATGGCACAACCGGATAATGAAAGAATTAACATATTTTGTGGTGGTTTTTGTTGTTGGTGCTGATGATTCTATCTATGTTGATAGTGGAAGTCCACTTATCACACTGCACTTAATATATCTTCACTGTTAAAGACTTACAGTTTTATTTATCTGTGCATCATTTGACATTTCTGCTGAAAGCTATTTATGTTCAAGTGTTTATTTTTTCAGCCGCAACTGTCATCGTTAGCATACTGTCATAACCAAATAGTTGTCCTTTTGATTGTATGTATGGAACTGTCAACTTTTCTTGAAAGTACACATTCCAGCTACACACTTTATATCCATCCTTACAGTGATGCATTTTTTTTTAAAATCCGTTTGCAGGGGTTCCATGTTGCTCTCTGATGTGATACATGTTATCTTTGCAGCATTAAAACCATGGCTGATGACTATTTCATAAGATTTGACTGTGAATCAATATCGGAAGAGTGTAGCTTTTAGCTAATAATAAAACATTACTGAAGGATTTAAGTTAGATTTTAATTCCAGCAAAGGGCTGCGAATGTTTATGCAAG